CAGTGGTACAGCACCCCAGGGCTCAATCCCCAGTACAAAAACACATACTATTACCTATCCCTAAACATGCCTAGATCACATTCCTAGTCCCTTGCGTGGGCAACAGGGTAGAGGAGAGTGTGGCTGCATAGTCACAAATCAAGACCTCCGGAGACCAAACTGGAAGCAGGTGATCTTATACTGGTAGCTCTGTATTTAGGTTTATAACTAAAAACTGGAGGGTCCTCAAAATGTGATAATGGCGTATGTTCTACAAGCAGCTCAAGTAGAGCCGAGACGTCACGTGAAGGACCACAAAAGAAGGTCAGGACAACAACCTACTCTGGAAGCACAGGTACAGGCAGTTGGATATGCCATGAAAACTTCAACTTCACAAAAACTCTGGAATTCTGATGATTGCCAGCAGGGCCAAAAAGGATCCACCGAGTTTTACAGGCCAACTGAGAAAGGGGAGCAAAGGGAGAGAAGTGGAGCTATGGATGAGAAGGAGAAGGCAACACGCAAGGCCGACAGGCTGGGAGGGAAAGCGGGAGTGGGGCACCAGACCTCCATACACACTCTAGCCTCACCCAAGGCCTACAGAGGCCAAAGCCTTTACGCTTCTTAACCAATCCAAACTTCCAGGAGTTATAGGTTAATATGGTTCCCAGAATCAGATACCAAGATGATTCCTGCACAAGAGACTCAGTAGGCAGTTTCCCCAGGAAAGGAGGGGAAAGGAGGGGAGAGGAATGGGGAAGTGGGACAGGGAAAGTAGTAAGGGTGTAATATTGAGAAAGGTCCCAAGTACAGTAACTCCGATTCAACTCTGCAGAAAAACTCTGGAGCCAGGCATGGAAGCACACACCTATAATCCCAGTAGCTGAAGAGGCTGGGGCAGGAGGATTGTAAATTCAAAGCCAGCCTTAGCAGCTTGGTCAGCCTCTGTCTCAAAATGGAATGGTATTCAGATTAAGTGTCCCTGGGTTCAATCCCCAATACAAACAGAAAAACTTTGTTATGCCCCTATTGCTTATGGACTGTACCCATTTGCAGAGGCTGGAAATTCTCAGGCTTCCTGTGCATACATGCAAGGACAGCTTCAGGAAGCATTGACAAAGTAACATGAGTTTGTTATCAAGTGAGTAACCACCAAGGTTGCATTCAGGGAATGGAATAAAGGGAAGATGAGAGGGATACTAATAGCATCCACTACCACCAAGTCCATGTCTCAACACCATCACTTTACAGAAAGCAGAGCACTCAGGAACCAACAGTATACTCCATCATTAGTCCCGCCAACCATGAGGCGGAATACAGCAAACAGGTGCTTCTTGCTGCCTTTTAGACTGATAACTTTGAGAAAACCTGATGCAGAGGTGAGGGAAATAAGACACCTGCTCGGAAGCACAGGAGTTTGATATATCATACATCGTTTTGATAGAATGTCTAGTTAAAACAAATTTAGAAACAACCATAGGAATTCTGTTTTTTCCAAAGAACTGGTACACCAAGTCAGTGCCCTTTCTGCTCCTGGGCTCAAAGCTACCACACAAGGTGTGTCCACCCGTAACCACCTAGCAACACACACTCATCACTTGGCTGGGCGTGGTAGTGTATACCTGTAATCCCAGTGACTCTGAAGGCTGAGTGGAGGCTGAAGAGGATTGCAAGCTAGTTCAAGACCAACCTCGAGACCCCATCTCCAAAAAAAAAAAATAAGTATATAAAAAAATGAGACTGGGCATGTAGCTCAATGGCAAAGTGCCCCTAGATTCAACCCCCAATACAAAACAAAAGCAAACCAGCCTGCTTGGGTCTGGGGATGTTTCTCAGCAGGAGAATGTTGTATTTGTTGTATTCAAAGCCCTAGGTTTAATCCCAACCACAAAATACAATAAAAATCCACTGTTCAAATACTACCTGGCAGTTAAAAGCAGGAAGATTTGAAGGAACCGATTTCAGTTTAATGACTTCCTAGACACTCTGCGACTAGAATCAAAGTAGCCTCTTGAAATGTTAGTTGCAACAGTAGCATTTTTTTCAACCAGAATAACCCCCTGTAAAGAGCAGTCATACTATCCATCCTGAGGGAGGTTATAGTTCATGTTTTAAAGTCAGATTTTCTGCCATCATAATCAAGTCACATTCACCACGCTAGCATATGCTTGCTAAGACTTCTTTTGGGACCTGTACTCATCAAGCCCACATGTCTTTCGGCAATTCAGAAGCCAAGCACTAACACTTGCCACTTGCGACAACAGAGCCATTGTCAGCTCCACCTTTCTGTGGGAGCAAGTGAGGCTGACTCACCTTGACATCACCCCAAAAGTGTCTGGAACTGACAATAAAGAGCTTTCTCCATCCTTCATGGAAGTATCTTTGCCTTCATTAATGGAAGTATCTTTTGCCAGTGACAAAAATACACCCCCACCCCCAGACATAGCATATGATCCTGCAGTTGAAAAGAGTAGATAAAGATCAAGAGTAAACAGGAGGACAGGGAAAAGTCTCAGGAAGGCACTAATATATTAAGCTCTTACCTGGAATGATTTGATACTCCATATTCAAATAACACCTTCCAACTGTCACTAAAGCAACAAGTATGATCAACATAGGGCTTTAAAATTTCCATCTCTAGTTTTAAATGCTGTTGACATAATGAATGTGTGCATGTGTAATACATACAACTAAGGTGCATGTCCAGGTCCAGTGTTCGTCACATTAGGAAAGCCCACTAACAGGTTTTTCATCAATACACCAAAATGAACAAGTCATCTCTAAGCAACAAAGGGAATCTGAGCAGCAGGCACAATTTCTCTGTATGATTTGATTCATACGCACACTAATAATCCAGCTTGGTGAGTGGGGTTATCACAGTAAGGAAACACTACTACTGCTTCTCACAGCAAGGCCTCAACATGTTTTAGTGCCCAAAAGGGCAGCAACTGTTCAAGACACAAACCTAGCAGCTACTACTTGGCCACAGAAAATCTCAACTTCAGATTCAAAAACTGAAGGATAATTAGAAACCCATTAAGAGCATGGTGCGGTCCACCAGCCCTAGGGAGGAAATGAATTACTGGTTTTAATTATGTCAAATCCTTCACACCAATGAAGCTAATTTTTAAAAGTTATCTTGTGACCCTCCAAGTCATTTTATTGGTAACAGAATTTTTGTGTAACTAAGTATTCTGAAAAAACTAAGTCATTCCTTGTAATGTGCACGCAACATTCTTATTTCTAAGTAAAAGTCAAGTGTTTACAACTAACTGTTCTTTAAAAGCAATCCAGTATGTTTTTGAAAACTAAGGTCCCCAAAACTAATTTACTTGATGGTATATTAGCTTCATACAATGCATCAATTAAACAGCTAAAAGGACATTATGATATACTGCACGTGTAGTTTATCACTTGGTTTACCTAGGAACACAGGTTTATCTGCGTGCAACTTTCAGGAAACAGTTTCAGCTGTGCAGTCAGTTTTTCCCTCCATTTCTCCAGGATTTCCAGCCTCCACACCCACTTCCTGACAACTAGCTTCAGGGAAACAAAACTGGAGCTTTGAGGGCTCCTTCCCAAGCCCTACCACTCAAAGGGTTGGGGTGCTTTATTTAAAGCCAGAATTGCCAGCGTTCGCGCTCTGGCTCCCACTTTCTCCACTCCTCTCCCAGAGGCTGCTTTCATCCATGATCCTTTCTCATCCTTTCAGGCGTCAAATCCCCAAAAGCGGTATCCAAGGCAGGTGATACCCTCCGCTATCACCTCATGAGAATCAACCCATGCTGGCTATGTCCCTTTTCTGTAGGGAGTTTTAAAAACTCTTGCAATAAAGGGCGGCGAGCCCTATGTACTGAAGGGCTCCCCCAAGCGCTGGACAGCAAGTAGCAGTCGCCAGGTGAGGTTGCCGAAGCAGTTCTTCCTACCCCGCCCAGACCTGTTGGCCTGGGCCGGCGTCCCAGCAATCACATACTCACCCACACGACGCGCGTCACACCACTCGGCACCGAGGCTTGCGCACACGGCACTGTCAGACCTGTCCCGGCTACAGGAGAAAATGAACAGGAAGCCTAAGCATCTGGAGGCTTTAAGCCGGCATGGGGCTGGTGCTTAAAGCCCTTCCGCACTCACCTCACCCGGAACACCAGGATGAAATCAGGAGCCCAAACGACCGCTGCACGGCCATAGGCACTTGGGAGGCGGAGGCCCATTTTTAACTTCAACCACAGCACCTGCGTCTCCCCCGAGGCCGCACCTGTTCCCCCCTTACGAGCACCTAATCCCTCAGCCCATTCTAAACTTCAGGAATCCTAGAACTCCACACCTTGCCTGTTTCAATATTAATGACCTCCTCCCCGCAATAACCGAATCCCGTTCTGTACCCACCCAGAGACGCCGTCTCAAAATGCCCGTCCAAGTTAAGAAAGGGATCCCGTTTCCTGGGATCTCTGGAGCACCCCTCTAAGCACAGCTTACACCCCTCCTCCAGCCGCCGCGCCCGTCACACCAGGTTGGTTCCTCTCCCTTCTCAACCCAAGTGCAAAAATCCCCCACCGCTACGCGAAGGCAGCACCCGAGCCGCGCGGCGCTGCAGAACACTTGGGAGGGGGTCCAAGCCAGAGGAGGGGGCGGCACGCCCGGCGCCACCGCGGGGACTGACCCCAGTCCCCAGCTACGGGAGACACCTCCCCGATTCCGGAAACTCATGTGAGAACTAAACCGGCGACGAAAGTCAGGGGCTGGTGGCGTGGAAGGGGGCGACACCCCGGGCAGGAGACAGAACCGCGGAGCTACTAAAGCAGGCGCTGCCGGGCGGTCGGTCAACGAGGGGCGCTCTCGGAGCAGCCAAACTTTGTCCATCACCGAAGTTCGATGAGCCGAGAACGCAGACCAGGGAGAAGCTAGAAATCGCCTGTCGCCTCCCGGAGCTGCAGGAGAAGGTGGCTCAGAGGCGCACCGCCCCAGTCCCAGGCAGCTTTTCACCTGTGCCCGCCGGGGCTGCGGCGCAGCACCGCACTCACCTGGCTGTAAAGCTCGCTGACCGACATGTCCCCACGGGGTGGGCCGGAGCCCGAGACGTCCCAGGTCGTCTGCAGCCCTAGCTCGTGCTCAGGTGGGCAGAGGGTCCCGGCTCCTCACTGCCCCGGCAGCTCTCAGTCCGCAGCCGGCCGGCCTGGCGCCATCTTCCTGGACTAGACGAGAGTTTCTCTCCCTTTTCTGCTCTCTCCCAACCTGCCCAGCCGGCTTCCCGGAGGCGCCGCGGCCGGCTCTCTCTCCGACGCGACCTTTACTCCCGCAGCGGCGGGCGGCGTAGCTGCAGCCCGGCAGGAGTTGAGAACAGGCGGGGGAGGAGGCCGCGCGGAGCCGCTCCCCACACAGGTATGGGGAGGAGGTGCAGGGTGCCCGAGGGAGAGCCGGCCAGCCCAGGAGGCAGGAGGACCGGCGCGTCACAGCGGGCGGCCCGTGCGCCGCCGCCGCCGCCGCCTTTTAAGCCCTCCCGAGCCCCAGCCGCCACGGGGTCCTCGGGGCCGGGGGCGGGGCCGACACGGAGCGGCTCCCGGGGAGCCGGCACGCGCCGCCCCCTGCTGGACGCCCGCTGTAAGCTGGCACAGGTGTGCGTCTGTCCGCACCTGTCTCACATCTTCCACCCGGGTGGTGTCCCACGAGACTGGGCTAGAATGCAGTGGAACCACGGGGGGTGGGGGTGGGGGATAATTGGAGAGTTTAAATTTAAAAAAAAAAAAAGGAGATCTATTTATATCTGGAAGGTTCCACACGTTTTCCTCTTGATCTTCTGTAGCTGTATTCGACGTTTTCATTATTAAAATTAAAATATGTTGTAGCTTGCTAAGGGGATTCTGATACACACTGAAAATAATCTCCGCCAACCTGCACTCCCTTCACTGAAATCCTGATCAGAAAGATGGAGTTCGCCGGTACCAATATTTGCCAGTTTCACCCAGAGCTTCCCACTAAACTCGAGGCCACTCCCCTCAGAACATTTTTGCTTTTCTGGGAAGTCTCACATTTTTCCCTATATCCAAACTCTCAGTCTTCCTGTCGCTCCCTCTATTCCCCCTCTCTACAGCACTTGGAAGCCTACAGCAACGTAGGGTCCTTTCCAACATTCAGCAAAAAGTAGCAATTTCAGCCAGAAAAGGAAAAGACTTGTCAGGAGTACCAGAGAGGGACAGAAGGGGCTGTCAGAGACATAGCCTTTGACTTCTGGAAGTGGTATTTGTCCTTGAGCCTGGTTCTCAACTAGAGGGTGCATCTACACCAGCTGAGGCCGTTCTGAAGCCCCACCCCCTAGAAAGTGAGTCTGCACGCATCCCACGTGAGTCCTTCCCACTGGAATGCAAGATCCCACTGTAATTGACTTGTGGTACTTAGCATACGTGCCTTCATAATGAGAATCACAAGGGGAGCTTTGGCCAGGCCCTATCCCCAGGAGTTCTGATTTATGAGTGAAAGATGGGACCTGGATATCTGAATTTTGAAAACTCCTCTAAAAAAAATTCTAAAGAATGATATTTCCAGGGTCAACAAATAGTGACCAAAACTCAGGCAACTCTCGTTGGATCTGGAATGGAACTATTCACATCACTGGCAAGAGCAGAAAGGACATGATTCAAACATTTTTCTTTCAAAGATCTTTCTGCATAAGTTAGCTTCCCTGGGTTTCAGTAGTTATTAAAGTGTGCCCCAATACCCACACCAGCCATCAGCATAACCTAGGATCTTTGTGGAAATACAAATTAGGACTAGGGGTACAGCACAGTGGGAGAGCACTTGACTAGCTTGCAGGAGGCCCTGGGTTAAATTGCAGACCTACTGAATCCGAAACTCTGGCAGTGGGGCCAATACTCCAAGTTCTAGCTGACTTTCCAGGCTATTCTTGCCTCTAATAAGAAAGCCTCCTTTCCTTAATCCCCACTTCTTACTCAGCAGATCACTTCATCAGTAGTCCCATCCCTTCTGTCTCTTCTATTTTCCTGCTAAGCTTCTTGAAGTAACAGCTTCACCTACTCAGCTGCCTCCACTCACTCTCTCCCAGTCCTTCCATAATTCACGGGTTCTCAACATTTGCTTCTCATCACAATCACTTTTGCAAAACAGATGTGTGGCTTCCACTCCCAGAAATTCTGATTTAACTTGTCTGGGGTGCTGCCCTGGGTTAAAAAAAAAAAAAAAAAAAAAAGTCTGAAGAACTCTCAGGTGATTTTAATGGGAGTTAAGGTTAAAAGTTGCTGCTTTCATCCTACCTGGGTCCCACTCAGCCCCATTCTATTGGAACTGCCTTCTCCCTGTGAGGCCTGAGGTGGCAGTTGACTCCCCCAGCCCCATCATGGCATCTATCATTTTCCTCCTTTCTCTGTTGTTTTCCCAGCCTCTCTCATCACCCCTTCTCAATGTCCTTTTCCAGTCCTGCTTCCACATCCTAGTTTTTGAATAAAACTTTGCTCCATGTCCCAGAACTTATCTTCTTCCTCATCCATGCTCCCCAGTTCATCCTCAGTGTGGTGCTGACTCTCAAATTGAATTCTAACCTTACTCTAGACCCACCTTTTTACCTGCAAGATAAAGCAATGCTAGCAATCCCACTTGGATCTCAGGCCAACCCAAAGTCCAGTTCTCCATGCCCCCATTCCAACTAGCTTCCATCACACCTGGCACAAATTAAAAGCTTGGTTCATGTTGATTGAACTGAATCACCTCCCTGAGGGGAATACAAGCCTTGCCCAGAGTTTTGTGAATTTCTAATCCTATAATCAGATATGGTCTTTCCCTCCTTTGAATAATAATAATGGCATTTTAAAAGTTACTTTGTTCCAGGAAACATGCCAAGCACTTTATTCCTGTGATCTTGTTGGAGCCTCAGAGCAACCTTATAAAGAGGTTAGGAACATGAACCCTATTTCACAGATGAGCAAAGTAAGGCTCAAAGAGGAGGGATGAGCAATAATCTAGGTTAGAGAGCTAGTGTTCAGGGAGTCTCTAGAGTCTGGGCACTACTTTTATACTAGTGGTTCTTGAACTTTATAGCACCCATGGAGATTAAGGAAACGTTAGGGGGTGCTAATTCAATTGTTCAGGTGTGTGGTCAGTGAGCTGCATGTTTAATAAGCATCCCAGTTGGTAGGAACACCTGGGTATAGAAGCCTTACTCGAGCTCAAAGAGAAAACATCTGTTGAGAATGCCTGGCAAGTGAAAGTTCCATCATATGTAAATGAGGAAGAACCCTAAACTTTCAAAGTGTTCATTTCCACCTCTCAAAGTGTTCTTTTACTGTGCCCTATGTTAGATATGTATTAATGTCCCTTTCCCCTCCTCACCACTAGGCTTGGAGGGTCTTGAAGGCAGAGACCCACCAGACCTGTGTTTGTATCACACTTAGAACAATGCCTTGCACAAAGTAGATATTAAAAAATAGTGGGTGAATTGAGAAAAATCTTGAGCCAGGTCTACAGGAAGTACTGCTCAATAGTTGGTAGAAAAGAGAGGGGGAAAGAATGAGGTTGCCAAACAGAAAAAATAGTATAAGCCAAGAAAGAGGAAGGGGAGGAACTCAACCAAGAAGAGCCCTTCTTATTGTCTGGTATTTGCATAAACATGTTTTCTAAACTGTAAATCAGTATAATTTGATGATTAAAACAATTTTCTTATATTCTCTCCCCATCAAATAGATTCATACCTTCTCCCTTTCCTCCTCTTTTTAAATAGCACACACGTTTGTGGAAAACTACACAAAGCACAGCGAGGATCCACTATCACTGTCCTAGTTGAGGGACAAGCAAGCACAGAGAGCAGGAGGAGGGTTGAGAGGGACACAGTTTCTAGGTCTTTGCTGCTGAGCACTGGAGTGTACTTTTCTCTCCCCATTTGTTTTTCTACAAAAAAGATTCTGGGACTACTTGTCACCCCCACACCACCTGGGCTCCCCTGTAATAATTCTGTGTACTGCAGATGAGATCAGATTCTCAGGCACTTTTAAGTTGGTACCTTTATCAATCAGGATTGGGTTATGCTGCAGTAACAAACTAACCCAAAGTATTAGTTCCTTCCACAAAAACTGTATTTCTTGCTCATATTGCACTTCTGTCATGAGTTGGAGATAGCTCTGCTCTACCTCACCTTTTCTCTGGGAACCTATTTTGAAGGTCACCAGGGTTGTGGCAGGGGCAAGAGGGATATAACAAATATTAGGTCTTAAATTTTCTGCTTGGGGATCCAATTTAGATCTCAATGGACAATACAAGTCACCAGGCTATTAATGAACCCATTGGGGAAGGGATATATGATGCTGTACAGAATAGAGTACTGACCAGAGTAGCAGCTCAGAATAGGACAGCAGATATTTTGAACACTAATATAATCTGTTAGACATTTCTCTCATACTCCATATTCTGTCTCCTCCATAAATCCAAATTTCTCTTGAGGTCTAGCCTTCCTTAACCAGGGGTAAATGGATGAATCCTGGATCTGAATGAAGAGCCATGAAGTTGAAATATAAACTCTTTAAAAGTGAGGAGGGAGTGTTTGCCTCACAAGGCCCTGAGTTCAATCCCCAGAACCACACACACCCCAAAAAAGTGAGGAGGGGGACAATTTCATCAGCATGGGAAGACAGAAAAGAAATGGACTTGGGCATGGATCACAGACTAAAAATTATAGTTTTGAGTGTAAGTCATTTAGTTCAATGCAAGAATGTTCAGCCTGGGCTGAGGATGTAATGTAGCTCAGTGGTAGAACACTTGCCTCTTATGTCAGAGACCCTGACTTTGAGTCTCTGCACTGCAAAGAAAACAAATAAAAAACCACTCAGCCTCTCAAATGTATGACAACCTAGCCTCTTATTGGACACCACTGGGACTGGAGACTTCACTATCCTGTGAGGCAGCTGGAACTGTCAAGGAACTTCTAATGTCACTGTCACCCTAGGCCATCTCTCCTACAGATTTTGAGTGTTGCATTGAGTCTTATGGTTTGTAACCAAGAAATGGAAATACGGTTGAAATTATATCATAAGAAACAAAAATAATAGTTGAAATTGTTTCCCATACAGGTGGTCATTAAAATCACTCTGGTAAGCTACTTCTAAATTGGCTCCAAATACTCCTTACCTCCTAGTTTCTACCCTGATGTGATCTCTTCTCTTTGTTTATATGGACTGGACCTGGTGATTGGCCTCCAACAATAAAATACAGCAAAGTTATGAACTGTCATTTTCATGATTAGACTATAAAAGACTGACTTTTGTCTTGCTGTACCTCTGACTCCTTTCATATGCTTGCTCTGATGAAGACTCCATGCTCAGGGGACCACATGACAAGGAAGTACAGGTGACCTCAGTGCAGCAGTCCCCAAGGAGCTGATTTTTCCCAACAACTATGTGAGTGAGCTTGGAAGCAGATTTGACCCTAAC